GGCCTTGCCTGCCTCTCCTATGCTCACCACAGCGCTGCGCTCAGTGACTGCCTCACATTTCATTTGCTTATTTTTTTTAAATCATCCTCTGTAGTGATAGAGGCTTTCAATGTCGGGAGGGACTTGTGTTCCCTTACCCACCACAAAAATGCAGCTAAAGCAAGACCAGAATTACTGTCCACACTAATGAAGACAATGGTTCACTTAGCTTAGGAACACACAATAACAAATCCTGATAGAGAATGTTTTCCAAATGTACCAAATCGAGCAAGAGTTTGAAATCCAATTCACAGAATCACAGAATGGTTGAGGCTGGAAGGGACCTCTAGAGATCATCTAGTCCAACCCTCTGCTCCAGCAGGGACACCCAGAGCACGTGGCACAGGGTGGCATCCAGGTGGAATTGGAAGATCTCCAGAGAAGGAGGCTCCACAGCCTCTCTGGGCAGGCTGTTCCAGGGCTCTGTCACCCTCACAGGAAGGGTGGAATTAAATGTCTTCCTGGACAGTTCTCAAATGTAAAGTGATGATTAAAAAAAAGTAATATTCAGCAGCACTGAGAATTTGGCTAGTATAAAAATGCCTGTTTTATAGCTCTGTCAAACTGCAGCTATTTTCTATGGCTCTATCAATCTTCTGGGCAATAAATTATTCTAAACATTTAAATGCAGTTTTAATCATATTTCAACCTATTAATTTTAAATTCAACAATGATTTCAGAAATTAGACTGAAATTTAGACTTGCAATGGCTGGAAATTTCTAAGCACTTATGATAGGAAAATGCATAACTAAAAAAACACAACCATCTTTTGAGGTGTTTTAAGACAAGCACAGCAAGTCTTGTAACAAACTTTCAAAATAACCTTTGGAAACTAATGAATCCCTTGATTTTACTAAAGCCTTTACAGCTGTGCACCAGCAAATGTATGATTCTTGATTTTAAAGAGATGAACAGATAAAATTTCTGTTCAGAAGTGTGTAGCAAAAAAAGCCTACATTTTTTCCTAATGAAAAAGACAAATATAATCCTAATGAAGGGAAAAAGCATATGCTCTTTCATATCCTAAATGTAAACAACTTTATTATTTTCTGTAAGATAATACAGAAATTATGCCCCTGAAATCCTGCTGTAGTGCAAATACTGTTTTTAAATAACTTTGCCATTCAACCACTATTTAAAAAGCTAAATCCACTTGACTGATACAGGAAAGGGAGATGCAAGATACGTGCAAAAAGGTGCCTGACACATGCTAAGAGTTGTGGTAAGGGAGTTCTAATTTACACCCGTAGCAAAGAGCAACAGATACAAGTGCTAAATGCAAATGTGTGTGTGGGGAGGTTACATGTGGTTGACTCTTTCAGGCTGGTGATCCAGACTGTCAGCCTAAGCACAGAAAGCAACTGCAACACTGTGTTACCCCCAGAAGCAGCCTTGCTTGAAAGAAGAAGCTGTTTAAAAAAAGACACACTAGCTGAATATCTTTTTAATAAATAATCACTTTGATACATAATCAGGTTAACAAAAACATACTTGTGCACATGATGAAAAACAGCAGGATCTTACACTTACTCTGGTAATTTGTGGCAGCAGGGAAAGGAACAGGGATAATCAAGTTCAGCATTGCCAGACTTTTTAATATTAAATATATTGGCATTCTCACAGTACATATCTAGCATTAATAAACAAAGGTAATCCTTTAAAATTATGTTATAAAACCCATTTAGAGAAGTTTACACATGACTTTTGCTTTTAAATATCTACATACCAGCCAATCTGAAAGAGAACAAATATTACTTTATGATGAAAACCAATTTTTACAGTAAAAAAAACCCCAACCTGTAATACAAATTTGAGGGAAGATCAAAAAAATCATCAACAGAAAAGGTATAGCTAAAGGGCGTACATTTCTGAATTCATTCTTTTATCTATTTTATAATAAATACACAATTATCCCCATAATAGTGCTGCTGATGATGTTTATGTGATGAAAGCCTCAAAACGCTGTGGGATGACAGGAATAGAAGCTGAGGAAGAGGAGGAGGAAGGGGGAAGTGGGGGTAGTGACAAACTACTGAAGTGAAAAGGAAGTCAGACACAGACATGACTTGCACCAGACTGCCCACAGTTATACAAAAGGTAACTGTGACCAGCAAACAACTTTTTTTTTAAATTGTCTCTTTTCTCCAGAAAGAATGATGCTTCCTGGTTTGAGAAACAACACGGTGGCTGGGATGAAGGTTGTTTGGTTTTGGATGATTGCATAGAACCTGAACAAACAATCGGATTCTGCAACACAAAGTTTCAGAGTTGCCTTGAGGGAAGAGGCCCTGAGAATTTCGAGACACCAGAAAATTGATCACATCTTTGGGTTGCCTTTTATTTTAGTCCTAACGCTCTAACCTACTTGCAAGCTTTAAGAGCTGTAGGTTTTCTAGATAGGTTGGGCACATGCAGTTTTGGTCGCTAGCTGACGCATAGTCCTTCTGCAAACTATGAGACATGACTGAAACTTACCTCAGGCGCAGGAGAAAGCCTCCTTCTAAACACAGCCCTCTTACCTGATGCAGCAACACAGCAGAAAATGCGCGCATATGATAACGCTGTTGAAGTTTTCTGTGATCCATGTCTTTATCAGTGCCTACTTAGCCAACTTGTGCTAATTTATCAAGTCCCAAGTTAAAATACTCACACATGCAGGCATCTTTACCCAACTCCCCTGAGCAAAGTATAAAATCTACTTGCCTTAGGTTTAAATTACATATCCTAAAGATGTATTACATACAACAATGACCTTTATGAATGAAAACAAGGGCTTACTCTTCAGCAAAACATTTCAAATAAGCTTGCTACACCACAGTCTTGTTTGCTTTTTTAAAGCAAACGCTGTTGTAGGATTCAGAGGTATAACTCCCAAAAATAATGCATGTAGGATTAAAAATCTAGTGCCCACACGTACTGCATTGGCACATACCTTGAGATGAAGCTTTTTCCAAAATATGATTAAGAAAAAAAAATCATTAAAAATAAACTCACTTTTGAGCTTAAAAGTTTTCAAGAAAAATCACTCAGAAATGAACTTTCAGTCCCCTTCCCCCCACAAAAGCTTTTTTTTTTTAAATGAAGAAAATTAGGAAGGAAAAAAAATTCACAAAATCTAGCAGCTTCAAAACTCAGAAGAATATTCTAGCAGATGCAGACTATTTCTGTATATAATCAGAAACAAACAAAATCTCTAAAGAGAGTCAACATTATATCCTTAAATTAAAGCAATACACAGTATTCATTCTATGTGAACTGCAAAGTAGAAAGAGTCACAGCATAGGGTCAATCCTGTCTTCAGGATTTTGAAGACGACTCCTACATGCTCATTCAACTTTAAGTTACGGTTGAACAGGCCCCATCAGATCAAAATATTTTTACATCCTTGTGGCACATATCTGGATGTGGCTTCCATATTTCAAGTAAAAGTTCAATTAACAACAAATATGAACTAGTTTTAACTTATATATTTACACTTTGATGTACAATTTTTTCCTCCCAGCACTGCATTCTAGGAGCACACAATCGAAATGCAAAAAAAAAGAAAATCTTTAAATAAAAGGTATAACAAACAGAATACTTTTTTTTTTTTTTGGCCTT